CACACACACACACACACACACACACTCTCAAAACACCCAGCCACCCGTGTTTCATTGTTGGATTGGCTCACCTCAAGTGTGCTTCATCGTCCGTAATAGAGGGAAAGGCCCGGAAAGCTACTGTGATTTTGGATCTACTCAATGCGGTGGGGCTGTTGTGGTAAAAATTTTAACCACAGACACACAGGCACACAGACACACACACACACACACACACACACACAGATACACACACACACACACACACACACACACACACACATACACACACACACACACACACACACACACGTGTGCAGCCCAAGCAAACTTTTATGGGCCCACCTGACCAATTGGTAGGCGGCCGAGGACTTGCTCGGCTGCGTTGTTGGGCCACCTTCGGGGCCTCCCGAGCTGTGCGCAGTGTGTGGTATCTTGCAAGATGCCATCAGACAAGACCTGCAATTGCTTGTGTAGTCATAGATGTTGACTTGAGAACGCCATTTTTATTGCCAGGGAGAGAGCACAGGGGAGGTCCCTTAGAGCGGCGGGTTTGACAACCATAGCTCTCTCACTGCATCAACGAGCAAGTATCTTGCAGTTTTCTCCTTTTGCATTATACAGTGGGGTCGGAATTCTTCCCCTACCCTCTCCACCTTCCAAACCCCTCCCTCCTCTACCCCCTCCTCTGCCTCATAATCCATTATGTCCGTGACATGTTTATTGTTAGGTGTTTTTTGGGGCTTGGAATACCAGGCCCAATCGTGGATGCTCCCGCATAATTTAAAAACATTGGTCGTGTTTTGTCATTTGCTGATTGGATTGATTGGGAATGCACATCACTGTGGTGCGCAGGAAACGGCCTCAATGATCAAGCCATATCATTCTCCTCTTCTTGGTTGCTCTGCCTTGCTCAAAGAGCTTGCTCTCTCACTCTTGGCTGAATATGGCCACCATCTATGTGTGTCAATGTAAGAGTGCAAGTCAGTGTAGCTGCTTCACTTTTCCGCGTGTGTGCATGCTTCCCTGTGTGCGTCCCCATGAACACGCGTTTGTGTGTATGTGTGTTCTCGTGTCCGCTATACTCGTCCACAAAAAAATCCTTGACTGTATTTTGCCCTACTTTTACCCACTCATCAGGAGGTTGTGTGTGTGCGTGCCCGCAGGCACGTGTGAATGAGAGAATGTGTGTGTGTGTGTACTGCCGTGCTTGTGTGAATGAGAGAAAGGGAGAGCATGATGCTGGTAATTTAAGTGCATAGGGAAGGGAGTCAGCATTCCAGCCAACCATCATCTCATCTGTCGTTGATTGTAACGTTATGCAATTGTCAAGAGGGAGGGGGTGGGGAGCCAGGGGGAGCGGGGGCATGCATGTGTGAATGCGAGAAAGGGAGAGCACGTTGTTTGTCACTGCATGTGCTTGATAGGGAAGGGAGTCAGCATTCCAGCCAACCAGCATCTCAGACTTTTCTTTGTTGAAAACCGTTCCGTCTTTTGTCGTTGGTTGTAAGGAGAAGCGAATGTCAAGGTGGGGATCCCTCAATTTTGAAAATTGCTTCCATACATGGCACAGTGATTAGTAGTAGTTATGTGGAAAGCATTGGCATCATGAAATTTTTCTGGGTCCTGACGTAACAGTACTTGTTAGTTGTCTGCTAGACATCTCTGAAGGATAAAGATGATAACTTTTGAAGTTTTGAGAAATCATGTGATGGTATCGGATGGGTGCGGTTTGTTGTGAGTGTGAATGCGCAGTAGTGGTTCTCTGCTGTATGTCTACGAGGCCTGAGGGGATTTGGTAGTGATCAAGGTGTGAGGGTACCTGATGATGGCTGCCCTTTGTTGTTGATGAGAATGCGCATTGGTCCGTCGTCCTTTGTCTATTGCACTTTGTCCATTGTGCTTTTGTGGATGTGATGTTCTGTGTACCCTTTGCCTTATTGTTTTTGCGACTTCCATTCGGTGTATGTTGGTGTTGTTTTGTGCCCATGACTCTGTCTCTCTGTTGCCATCCGAGCTCTTCCCTTCATTTCTATTCTTTACTCTCTTTTCAACAAGCATCACATGTGACCAGTGCAGGTGTATCGTCGACGCGCGAATGAGCGGGGGAGTTTTTTGGGGCATGGGTTGCGGTGTTCCATCCTATCCGCCTGAGGTGTTCAAAAGTATTTTTTCAGATTGTTCTTTTTTCACAAACTTTCAGTATCTGTTGTCCATTCTTCTGTGCATGCTATGGGTTTGTGAGTTTTGTGGGTCTGTGTCTGCTTCTCTCCTCATCGTCTCCTTCCGTGGTCCTCATCTCATCGTCTCCTTCCGTGGTCCTCATCTCATCGTCTCCTTCCTTGGTCCTCATCTCATCGTCTCCTTCCGCGGTCCTCATCTCATCGTATTGAAATATTTTATAGCGTTATCAAAGCCTGATTTAAGATGGGAATCCTTTGGACTAATGGGGCTCTCCTTCCTGCTCTTGGGTCTGCCTCCCTATGCTTCATTCCCATGGATTGATGACCTTGTGTCGAGTGTTTAAGTCTTTCTCTCCGATACCCACCTGCCTGGATCTTGTGTGCGTCGGATGCGATTTGCTTGGACCTGTTGGGCCCAATTTGGGCTGATATTGATTCTGCGAGGGGAGCAATCTAAAACTATATGCCGCTTGCGCTGCTGTGGATGCATATTAAATTGGTGGTGTGCTTTAGTGGCATTCTCTCTTTTGGTTTGGCCGGCTGTCTTTGTCTTGAATGTGAGTCTGGGTTGTCGTGTCCCCTTGTGTGTGGCTGCTCTTTTCCTCCTGCTGATTGCCTTTGCGGCTTAGGATGACACGTGGGGACACCGGCGCGCATCGAAAGTTGCTCAAAGACAGGTGAGCAGTATTGTTGTATGACAACTGTTGAGGAAGGTGCAAGCTGTGCATGATTGTTGTGGATGCTCTGTGCATCTTAGAAAGAGATGAACGTTTCTTGAAGATGAAATCGTTTTGATCTCCTTTATTATATGCCCTCGAAAGTCCGTGGCGTGTGGCTGCTCACTCCTGCTCTCTCTCAGTCTGTGGTCCTGTCACTGCCATGCCTTGCAAACGTGTGGGTTGGCCTTGTGGTCTTCGATTTGCGTATATGATCTTTTGATGGTAATCAAGTGGATCAAGATCCAGTTTGTTCCCCTCGCGCTCCCCCCCCTCCTCCTCTCTTTCCCTCTCCTGTAAACAGAACCGTTTCCCTCTCCTGCAAACAGAACCGGCGCGTCAAACCCTCTGCTGCTCACAGTCGTCCCCATCATCTTTCGGGATTTCTACGTCAATCTAGCAATGCTTTAGTGGATGGTGGCAGTATTGATCAGATCCTGAAGCCAGAGGTGATTTCTGGCCCCCAAATTGCCTGCGTGAATTATTATGTGAGACTCAGTTTGTAAAGGAAAGGGATTTCAGCTATTCAAATGTCTTCCAGGGTGTCATGAAGTATGGGAGTGAGACTTGTGAGTTTTGATAACCATCTCCAACGTCTCATCAACTGTTGGAAAGCCAGCTCGCTCAAGTCTTTCCTCACACTTGAGGAGATTCAGATCAGCTTGCATGCCTGTTCAGCTGTGTACACGACATCAAGAATCTCTCTCAATGCAGAAGACGTCAAAAGAACGGGATCTGCATGAGGTATGGGAGTGAGACATGTGAGTTTTGATAACCATCTCCAACGTCTCACTAACTGTTGGAAATCCATCTCGCTCAAGTCTTTCCTCATGCTGGAGGATATTCAGGTCAGCTTGCATGCCTGTTCAGCTGTGCACACGACATCACGAATCTCTCTCAATGCACAAGAGGTAAAAAGAATCGGACCTGCTGGAGACAGGGTTTAGTCTCTTGGCAAACTTTTTTCTAGGTGAGACAGGTGTTTAGCATTCAGCAGCTGGGCAGGTCAGCCCTGTAGCAGATTCGATGATTTGCGTGAAGCAAAGGAGAATGGGAGATTGCGTGAATGCGACTACTTCATGACAATTTAAGACAACTTGGTTTGCGGAGAGGCGAGTGGATACAAGCTGAGGAGATGCTGAGGGAATAACTTGACATGGATGCTGATAGAACCTGCTGTCGTCCGCTTGCAATGGACTTGGAAAAGTACAAAATGGGCAAAACAGTACTAAAGCTGCTGCAACAATTTTTGTCAATTTAGTAATTTACGGAGACATGGACGGTGCCATTTATTAATTTTGAATCGAGAAGGATAGTGTTGACAGTGTCCTAAAAGAAGTCAAGTATCCGAAAAGATTTTAAAGATTAAAGTTTAAAGGGTTTTGTTGAAATTTATTCACTACTGTTTACGTACTGAATTCGTATGGCTCAAGTAGCTGTGGTCCTTGTGGAGATTAGAACGGTTTAGTCTCAATGTAGTAGAGGGACTGGATTGATAGCAGTTGAGCATTTCGAAACTGTGTTGGACTCTGAAGAAAAAGGCAAGCAAGAAACAGGGGTGACGAAGAACAGTCGATTCCTCTCTCCCCCCAAGCAACAAGAAACAGGTCACCGAGCAATGTACCTGGCCTTACCTTTTGACTAAGATCACGTGTTGTATCTGTTCTGGTCAGTTTAATATATGATCGATTGATCCGACGTCAGTCTGACCGCTCACAAAAAAGTTAAAAGGAATGCATCCTCTTTGTTTGTTATCCCTCCAATTCCCAGGCAATGAACTAACTTAGCGTATCCTTTTTGGTGGCTCTCTGCATAAACCTTTTTCGCTTTCCAGATTTAAGAACTTCAATGCAGCATTGGAGCAGCTGCATACGACTCAGTCACAGTGGATCATCCCTGATGACGAGTTGCGTGACGCAGTCCGGCTGTCCGTTGCCGAGGTCTTGCTGCCAGCATACCGTTCATTCTTGACGCGTTATGGGTAAGCTCATCTCGCTTGCTCATTCATTGATCGGTTTTCGTGGGACCTTGTGTTGCTTGGTTTGTTGAGCTGTCTGCCTGTCTGTTTTTCTTGGGGCCTTGTGTTGCTTGGTTTGTTGAGCTGTGTCTGTCTGGTGGGCTGAAGATCTAAACTGGCCAGGTCTTCCAGCTTGCTCCCAGTACCCACCTATGCATTCCCAGTGCTCAGAAAACCTTTTTTTTTTTTAAGGGCAATGGCCTTTAGAAGTTTAGAGATCATCATTGAACTGACCGCCCCCAGGGAATTCAGCAAGGTTTTATTCTTTTTTCATCTGATAGACTGATGGTATCTGGATTCGAACTTGGATCTGTATTTCAACACTCCAGGGGTGTACCAACTGAGCTGGCTCGTTGGTAGTGCTCAGAAAAGCTTCTTTAGAGGCATGTTAGGAAAAAAAAAAAAAAAAAGATTTGTCCTTCAGGACGTCTGCTAAAAATTTAAAATTGGAATGATTCAGAGAATATTAACATGGGCCAGTGCGCAATGACGAGACACAGAAACAGAGGGGGGGGGGAAGATCCAAATTTAAAAGGGACTGAAAAAAAAAAAAAAGGAAATATGATTTGCAATTTTGCACTTCCTCAGCTGGCTGATTTTGCTACACTGGTTACCTGATATGACGGTATTATGACCACAATCATCTGTATGTTATGGGTGCATGGCTCTCCACTCTGACCGTACGGATCATCGAGCCTCAAATTCGTGCATTAGAAAAAAAAAAAAAAAAAAAAAAAGTAAAAAAAAAAGTAAAATGCTGGCACTACAATGTTTGCCACCAGCAAAAAGCTTGAGGGGAACAGAATGCCTTCTCCCTCCCAATTTGTGTCGTACTAACCGTAGACGACTTCTACACCCATGCATTGGCCTAATACTGTCCTTCAGTCTGTTTCTTCTCTCTGTTTCCCCTCTTTCGTCTGGATTACCATGCCTATATTGCCTGTCATCTGCTGGCCTCATTAATCTGCAGAGTCAGCAAACAAGGGCCTAAGGCGAAAGTCCAATGAATCTCTTATCATAAAGAGATTGGACCTATGGAACTCCCCTGGCCTATGATCCCACACCCCTACCGACAGCTCGCTGGACAACATACAGATATACGGGGAAAACCAGGAAGTTAAGACCTATTCATGCTCTATAGTCTATAGTCTATACTCTTGGAAATTTACGAGTTGCTGGCAGAGCAGAGTGCAGTCCACACTCTCAGGGTGATCCTGACTCGGGACGCGTCGCTGAACTTCCTGGGCATCATTTGGCTGACGTGCAAATTGCCGCGCAGAGTGCAGACCACATGTGTGCCTTGGAAATAGTGGTGGTTGAAGACACGAACTCTCCACCAACTGGCCTAGCTCAGTTGGTACAGCCCTGAACTGTTGAGAAGGACCTGGGTTCAAACTCCAATGATTGGGATTATCCTCCGAAGAGCGATCTCCAGTGATCTGGGAAGCTCGATCTCATTTGACTGGGCAATGACATTTCGGGAAAACAAAAGAGGACACGACCTCTCCAAGGTGCAGGCCACACTGGACTATATATGTTTGTCTTTTTGCAAGGGAGTCTGATGGTCAAATCACATGATAGATTGTGAAACATTGACATATGCATATTTCAGTGGAGCCTGAACCTGCCCCTAAAAGGTTCAGGCCCCACTGATGCTATCTTTTTGCTTGGAAACTTCGAAAGCATGAACCTCATCTTTTTTTTTTTTTTTTTTTTTTTTTTTTTTACATCGCCCAACTGGGCATGTAACACACTCTCTCTCTCTCGGACTGACTCAACATGAACTTGGCTGTTTTTATAAGTTGACATGAACTTGGTCATCATGATCGACAGCCGGCATTTCAAATTCGTTGTCGGACTCGCTCAGCTTAGTACTTTCCCTACCTCCCTCCAACCTCTCTCTCAAGCATGAACATAGCTAGCTCTACTGGTGCCTGGCCCTAAGTTGCAACCGTCGACTGGAACCAAACAAGACACAGTCTTATCCATTCCTATAACGGTCAAGTCGACTAACCTTTCTTCATTTTTTCTCTCCTCTTTTTTTTTTTTTTTTTTTTTTTTTTTTAA